GTTGTACCTGCTTCCCATATGCTAATCTAATATATTCCATGCAGGCTCCAGTCCTCAGGACACCAGGGAAATGCCTGAGAACTAAGTTTTAAGGACTAATAATGACATATTGGTAAATATTAACTATTTTATAGACAGACTACCTGAAGCTGAGAAGTGCTGAGAGCTGAAAGACCTGACTCACAGTCCCCTTCTCTAATGAATAGTTGAAGTCATCATATTTTCCTAACTTCTTCATACGGTAGTGTTAGTTGAGCAACTAAGTGATTTGATCTAGCCTGATATCAGCTGTTTCTCTATGCCATTGTTTTACAGGTGGATAATAGACCCACACACTTTATGTTATCATGCAAGTACTTTATTCCATTCCAGACAAATAATGTGCGTGTTGGGTGGGGGGATAAGGGGGAGGGGAATTATTTTTCATGAATTTCTGAGCATAATATTTAACTCACTGGGTGCAGGAGAAATATTGTTGTCTTGCAGTTTTGAAAAGGGAGCGAAGATTGCCTGGTGTTAGACCAGATCCTATGGTGTTGTGTGTATAAAGCCTGATCCTGCAATCCAAAAGTAAAGATATTTTTGCTATTTTACTAGTAACTTTATTAGGAACAAAGTTCTCTATGCCATAATATCTTGGTATAAAATAGGCACAAGAAAACATGTACAACATAAATGAAGTGTAAAAATAAATTAATGTCCATAGATAAGTTTAAGTTCTTTCTGTGACGTGCTGTCTCAGTTGAGATACTTATCTTGTGTTGCAGAGGGATTTATGCAAGTTATAGCTAGGGTTGTGATATTTGTTTAGCTTTGTGAAATTCAGTTGACCAGCATAGTTATTTATCAGTGATCAGGTTAGACATTAATTGAAGGTATGATCTAATCCAGGGATTCTCAAATTGTGTTATGCATACCCCTGGAGTATGCAAGTTACATCTGGGGACACATGGGAGAAATTGTGTAGTGGCAGATTTTAATTTTCATTATAATAATACTTGGCACTTAAGGGGTTAAAATATGCTAGTGGGGGTACATGGGCAGCTGGTAATCTGGAAGGAGGTATGCAATGATAAAAAGTTTGGGAACTTCTGATCTAATCTATATAAGAGTGTCTGATTTGGTGAGGCTAAATCAAGCAGTTTTGTTTTGTACTTTTGCCCTGTATTAGAAAAAAATAAAATAAAGATTTCCAACTGTACTTAACAACATTTAATCCTATTACATTTCTGATATTTTATGTTTTACATTTATTTTTTTCCACGAGTTTTAAATAATGTAATATAGCTTGCAACATTTTGAACACACATCATACTTAAAAATCCTAAAAACTTAACAGTTGTTTAGAAGCAAAAGTCCTGGTCCCAAGATGCACATGGTTACACTTGCACTGAAATCAGCACTTCATGTTAGAAAAACAATTGTTTTCATCAAAAAAGTACGCATTCCCAGCAGAGTATTAAAGTGTTTGGTGATACAGATGGAAATATTGGAATTCTACCTTGGGTACTGATATAAAAATATTTAAATGCATCATAAAATGCACAGATCCAGTCCTGCTCACTGTAGAGTCCTTTAGGTTATTAAAATACATTCAGTTTAACAAGAGACACTGAAAGTAGTTGTACAATGCATGCCATTCAGCATTTTGTAACACTAAGGGCCGGTCCAACCATTAGGCAAAATAGGCGATTGCCTAGGGTGCCAAAATTATATGCAGAACAAAATAACAGGAACATCATTCTAAATAACAGCCCTGACCGGCTACAGCTCCACCTTGGTCTAAGATCTTTGGTTCAGCAAGGGGAGAAAGACCTCTAAAAAGATCTCAGAGGAAAGATCACTAGAATCATGACTCCTACCTTTTGGACACTGAGGTACACAGTGGTGGGGGTGCCAATTACCCTTGGACCGGCCCTGGTAACGCTTCTTGGTTTAGCTAGTCAGTGAAGTCCTTGGGCCAGAAACAAAGTTATTGATTGTAAGGAGCAATTTGAATAGGAAAAAGTGTATCATAAAAGGAAAATGAAAACCAAAAGCAAAAGGAAAAGTGTGTAGATTATGTTTAATTCAGCTCTAACAGAGTTGATAATATGCAAGAAGGACTTAAGTGGATTCCCAATGACATGTCTTCACACTTAGAAGTTTCATACTACTTTACAGGTGGATGATACTGAGTCATAAGCCCAGGCTGAAGAACACAGCACTGTTAGATGTATACAAGCTTAAAGTGGAAATTAAACGAAATTTTACCATTCTAGCATCTGACCCTGGAAAAACAAAAGCCAGTATTATAATTTCTGTAGGAACAGAAGCATCACTAATAGCTACTTAATGGAAGTTTTGGTAAACTTGTACCTTTCTGATCTAATATTTACAGTCTATCAAGTAGAACAAAGAGAGGGATGTTGCTACAGTGTGTGGGCTGGAAATGGAAGAAAAACAACATTCAGCTTATGACAAAAAGGAAGGTAGGGTTAGCAATAACTTCTGTAGCAAAACCTCTATTTAATATTGACTTTTTAATATAAGTACAATAAAATCATAAGAAGGTCTGCACAAAATCTGGACAGTAACACCTCTGCTTCTTGGACTGTTTGCAATCTGGCTCCAGATCTGAGTTTTGTGACTGCAGCCCTTCTGTAATTAATAAGGAACAGCAGATATAAAACATAGCTATCTGATGGATCTCAATCCAGCAAAGCACTTGAAACATACATGACTTTGGAACATGTCCCATTGACATCAGTGGGTAATGCCATTAAAGTGGCGAATGGGAGTAATGCAAGCCCAGCCTTCAGATAGGGAAACAATGCAACATGCATCCTAAAGATTTTCAGTGGGACTAAGTACATTTTTAAAGACAGACTCAAACAAATTGTTTAGTGCCCTGCTCTATCGGGGCACTTTCTAAACTCTGTGGGATAACAGATTTTTTTTCAATCTATGCTTAATTATTTCTGACTGAGAAGCTGGGATTTCTGCCCCCCTCCACCAAGCTGTGGCCTTGATTACTCCTGTGTTATTGAAGAGCTCACTTATGAACCTGCTGCAGCTCATTTATGAACTCAGTTTCCCCTTTTGAATATTGGGGTTCCACTTGACAACTTACTTGGCACAGAAGTGTTGTGCAGATTACTTTGTACTTATAAAGAGTCTTGATAATGCTGAATGTGTTCTAGGGGTCTTTGCCCAGGTGAAATTCTCACTTAGTTCAGCCCAGACCTCAGAAGTACTAAAATTTATCATTGGCATCTGACCGATTTCTTTTCCTAGAAGGATTTGCTGGAGGAAAATTGGAAAACAGGGGGGCCAAGAGCAGTGCAGTGAGAAGGAAGAAATTACAGACAAATTCTAGTAAAAATAGGGAGAACTGCAAGGGTTTTAGGGTTTCTTTGTTCTGGAAGATTTACTATTATTTTGTTAGTTATGCTTGCTTCAGTCATTGCATCAGCTATTCTGGGTATTTGTTTTCTTTTATTCTGTGTTTCTTTTTACATTTTCCCTCCCTCCTTTTCTCTCATCTTCTCTTGTATCTTCCTTCTTCCTGCTTTACAGAAGGGAATTAAAGAGGAAGTGATTTATTCTTGAAAAATATATTTGAATGTAAATAAAAAATGAATGGTCGGTCTCTTTCTGATGATCCTTCCTAGTTCTCCCTTATATACCCCCACTTTCTATAATTCTCTTGGGTCTGAATGTTCATGTTCCTTAACAGATAACTTATTCCAAACAGTACCACATGCTTCCCACTCCTCTGATATAGTCCCAAACCTAGAGTTGTTACTCAGAACTCCTATTGAAGTCTGTAGGCCATTTAATAGTAGTAATGTTGAGCTTTGGATATATCTCTTTTCTTAGACAACAATTCAGAAATAACTGAAGCATTTGCTTAATTTTTATGCACATGAATATGGCCATTGACTTCTATAGGACTGCTGTGTGCTTAAAGTGAAGAACATGCTGATGTTCTTTATTAAACCAGGGTCTTAACTGAATGCTGCTAGAGAGGCCCTTGATCCACTGGTGCAGGAAATGCTTTTCCCCCACCCCCACTTTCATAATGCTTATGGGATTAAAAAAGAATTGCAGTGAGCCACAGCAACAAGAGGTTGATTGATACTGAAGTGTTTTCATTATGGTTACATTTCCTTAAGTACTTAAAGAAAGGGTCCACTACCATTTCAGAGAATCCAGTAATCAAGTTGCAATAGTAACAGATTACTGCTGTCATGCTTCTTTTTTCTCCAGGTTCTGATTTCTCTGCCTATCTCTGGTTTTATTTTAGTAAGAGATACCCAGTGGCTCATTTTGCTCAGGTCATCCAGGAGAACTTACATGGGCCAATAGTTTCCATTACATTTATCTCATCTCCTGTCTTCTGCAGCTGAACTAAATGAGTACTACACAAGACCCATAAGATATGCTTTTAAATCCATCCAAGTCAGTGTTGTTACCACATCTTTAAACTACATCTTAGAAGTCATCCTAAATGATGTTTTTTTTTTTTATCTGAATAACAAAAAGAGTTTACTCAAAACACTTTCCAACAGCTGTGGGCAAATAAATATTGAATGTAAAATTATCAGGCTAGATGCTAAACCCTTACTGAGGTTCATTTGTGCTGCAGGATCCATGCAAAGAACCTGTGGCTAGCCATAAATTGGCAGCTGAGGATTTCCATAGCATGAAGAAATTCTCAGTTGATGCAAAGCTGGCATCACTGGCCTTACTCAATCACACTCTCTCCATTCTAAATCCAGCATGGAGAACTGGATCTAGAGTGCAGCAATGCTGAGCCAAGAAAATACTTTCCAAGTAGACTGTTCAAACCAGTTTAAATGGTGAAAGCTATTCTGGTTTATGCAAGGGTCTAGCTGACTTCTGAGCAGTTTCAGGACTGGAGGGCATTGTAAAGGTAGCTTAGAGTGAGACATGCTTGTGTCTCCTGTTGTGCCCATCATGAGAATAAGCTTGGCCCACATGAAAATTCAGTCCTTTGTATTTTAAAATGAATCATCATGCAAAATATCTCCCTTCTGTTCTGATACTGACCTCCCTCTCATACCCAATTCAGGAGAGAACGACATGACACAAGTTAAGGTTCTGATTCTGTGTCAGTCAAGTCAGTGTCCACTTCAAAGGGAGTTTTGTCTGAGTGAGGTGAATAGAATCAAGCACTAAAAGCTTCATTTATGAAGCCTTTCTGGAAACTTCATTTTAAAAGTCCCCAGATCCTAACTTCTCTTCAAATTAGCATTTCAATGTGATTCTATTAAGGGTTGCTCCTGTGTACCCCAAAGTGTCAATGCAACACGTGCAGTGCCTAACGCTTGTTTAATGCATAATATTCCCTGATATTTTGAGGAGACTGAAAGAAAACAAATATTCCTGTGCTTTGAAAAAGAACTAGACATTGAAGTGTGTGTGTGTGTGTGTGGGGGGGGGGGGGGTTT